CTTATTTAACATATATGACTCCCCCCCCCCCCCCCCCCCTCCCCCAAGTGTGAAGAGGGATCACCACGCCCTGTATCTTTTAGAGCTGTCAATTACCATACTCGGCTTACACTGACGTCACATCATCGCTTATTATGGTGGCTAGAATGAGCCACGCTTCGGCACTTCGTTCCCCGATCTGCTAGTGGGCGCCGCCATCCTGGTACTTAGTGTACAGCAGACGCCACTGTCGATCGCCACAATTCAAAAATACGACTTCCTCGGCTTCAGATGCCGGGTTAGGAAGCTGAGGTGGATATCGTTTTGCTCTGTCACAAACTGGTTTAACTTCTAAAAAATTTGGGGGCTTTACGTGCCAAACCTACGACGGGCATCTGGCACGCCCCAGCGGAGGACTGAGGATTCATTTCGACCACCTGGGGATCTTTTGACGTGCAACCGAAAGCTCGGTTACCACGGCGCCTTCTCCGCAATAAGCCTCCGTCATATTGCGGGCACCTCGGTCGGGATTCGAACCCGCCACCTGGGGATCCGTGGGCAGGCGCTCTCGCCTCGGAGCCACCGAGGCGGCTAACTGTTTTAACTTCTCTGGAGCACAAAAGAGCGTCTGCTGTATGCACTTCACGCCATCAAGATTTTCTTTTCCGATTTTTTTTTTTTTTTTTTTTGGGGGGGGGGGGGGGGGGGGCAAGGTTAAATAGGAATGACAACGTGACATCTGCTGGACACTTAGTGCAGGGAACTCCTTGCGCGCACAAGAGCCAAGGAAGCAGTTCCGCGTAGCAACAGAAGGTCGGAGCAGAAGGACACAGAAAATGTACCATCTGTGTCAAGGAGACCTCGTCGCCGGGTCGTGAGCCATCCGTATCTTTTACGTATACATCACAAGCCGTCGACCGGGTCTTTATCTCAATCATTCCGTATTATCTCAGAGTCGACTTAGTTATCGAGTAAATTGCTCAGTTGTGGTCACTGCTACAGCAATGAAGGCGGTCGTTGTCTCCTCCGATATACGCCGCAATCTCTGGGCAAACCATCAACTGGATATTGGATGGTTTAGTTTTCCACCTTGATTTATTCTTTGATAAATTTTTATTCAAAAAAATAAATACAAATCTAATTATTTTTTTTTTTAAACGGTACAGACGTTAAGTTGTTTGAATAGTCTAGACTGGGTGCCCCGATGTCCTCCCGAAAGTGCAGTCGCACTGTCCTACAAGTATTCGCTGCTGACATCTGCTTCGTGTATATATGTGCCTCAAGTGTGTCTGCAAACAATGTGTGCGTGACCAGTGAAAAAAGACGCCTCAGGCAGTGTCTCTTCTTTTCGAGATGTATCAATCATGTGAACGGCGGCTTCACTCACAGGGTTGTTATGCTCGCCAAGTTTCTTTCTTATCAGTACATGACATACGAGAGCCCAAATACCTGGAGCACAATTTGCGGCTTGAAATTCGTGTTCTTTCCGCCCCAAAATCCGCCGATCGAGATATGGGCCGGTTTGAGTCGCGCTCCCTCTTCTCTGTGGTCACGTGCCGTTATCCGCGGTTTAGAATCACTCGCATACCTAATATAATCCAAGTCGCGAGTCATCGAAGGCACGCACTCAATGTTAAAAAAAAGAAGAAAAAAAAAGTGATACTTATTTTTGCGGCTTTTAAAAAACTGCAAACATGTTGATTGTAAAAACAAAACAAACAAACAAAAAAACGTTGCATAAAGATCCAGAAGCATTCTGTGAATTCTCTGCGTAATTCTCAACATGGCGTCGTATCGCGGGAAACACGGGCTGGAACGAAGCGGACCGAGTGATGGCTGGGGACAAAGGGGGCGTGGGACCTCTACTTCGGAACTGTTGTTCGCGATACCGTAGAATCGGTCTAGCCTTAAAAAGCCCCTGAAAAGAAAATAAATAAGCAGTCTAGTTGGGACACGCGTGCCAAGAAATAAATTTTACGCGAAAAAAAAAGATTTAGAGCAATATTGACGGCGAGAGATTTATTTGAAATTCTGCGCGCGAAGTCCATGACGTCACTGGTCATTCCGGAATGACCATCTCGGTCGTGAAGGCGAAGCCGATCCACCTCTCCTCCAACCGCCCCCCGAAAGGACGATAGGGAAATCAAGTGGAAAGGAGGTGACTTCCGAATAAATCGCGTCTCGCGCCGTCAACATTGCTCTAAAAAAAATTTTCTCTTTAGCGTAAAATTACTTTTTTGACACGCGTGTCCCAAACAGACTGCTGAAAAAATTATTTTCAGGGTTTTTTTTTTTTAATGAGAAGTAGTCTACAGATTAATACAATTAGGATTTAATGCGTGCGACACGCCCGACCACGAAGCTGATTTGAACGAAGATGTCGCTCAGTCGTCACCCCTTGTCCCGGGTGAAGACATCGCTCGTCTTACGAACACGAATTGGTTAAGAGCTTGAAAAACTCGCAAACGTCAAGCACCAAATGCTTGACTTTGCCTTTTTCCTACGACGTGCGCGTCTTTCGTCTGCTTTGCAAGGTCGGAAAAACGAGGGAAAAATAAAAATAAAACGCGGTCGCGTGTAGTCACGTGACTTCCGGCAACTCCATTCTAGTTTCGGTTTCGGTTTTGAGCTGTGGCGTTTTTTATTTAACTTTATTCAAAATACACGTGACGCTGTAGCAAAATATTGATTGGGTAGTCTTCTGACAGCACATTAAATAACCTGACAAAAAAGAAAAAAAAATGAAGTTTTGGGGAGGGTGTTGGTGTTTTTTTTTAAAGAAATTGACGTCTTCGAGGCCGCGACTGCCCAAAAGCAGCTCTTGCCGAAACGTCGGCTGCCGTCCTGCTGCTTCTATTGTCAATGACAGCGTAAGAAACGCAGGGCGTGGCGCGTGCCTTGCATCTCATTATCGCTCAGCAGCCAATCAGATTGCTGCATCAGTCGATCGGAGCACAGATGGTCCAATCACAAAGCAAGAAAGAGCGATCCTAATAGGCCACGCCCTGTGTGCCTAAATGCTGGGTCACTGGGCTGTGGGCGCATGCATGCGAGGCGTCTCTTCTTTTTTCGTTGAAGATAGCTATTGCGCATGCTCAGAACGGGTTCCACAGCAGACAAACAAATGGCAGCGCACAGAAGGCCATTATTGGAAAAAAGGCCTATACGAGGTTTGTTTTCCAGATTTCGAGTATTTCGCGCCGGAAACATGCGCCAGTTCAAAAGTGGCGAGGCTAGAAAAACAGAGCGAACTCGTCGCACAGCTGTGCTAGGCGAAACGCACGTGTACTTACATTTACAACCGAAGCGTTTATTTTTCTTTGTCAGTGTACGCCCTTTCGTGCCATTAAAACAAAGCGAAGTAAAGCAAGGCTGGCATCCATAGCTGACGCTGATCTTACATCCCGAACAGGGATATTCTGCGTGTCTACGGACTTGACCTGATGTACGCATTTCTATATCCAATCGAAGGAATTTTTCCTGTTCACCTGGCTAAACAGAGTAAATTAAGTGTGGCCGTATTCGTAGGATTCCTTTTGCGGCACCTTAAGAAATCTGGGATGTATTCCCGCAAATCACTTTCATGAGTCACTCGCTGGTATGTACAGAGTGAGTGCAGCGAACGACAAATCAAAACATGTTTAGAATGAAAAAAAGACTAAAGAAAAACAGTATATGCTGTGCCACATAGCATGAGATTTTACCGTGACGTGGCACAGCGCAGAGTGTAATTGTTTTTAATGTCCAATCATATATTTATTTTTATGATTCGCCGAGCTTCTGCCGTAGATTTCAGTGATTGCCTCTTCCAGGTGCTTTGCGAGAGAGCAGACGATCCAGATTTCTCAGAGTGGCTCGGGCTAAATATCTTCGGGTATTTTATCTTGGTTTAATACCGCTTTTGGGTCATGTGGTCATCCACGGATTTCCCGGTGGGTTTTATTCGTGACCTTATACAAAACGATACAATCGTCAACCATGTTTAAGTAAAACTATCTGCATGAAGTCTATAGGACAGCGAAAGTCTCTCTGCCTCGCAAGTTGAAATAGGTCACTTGTACAAAGTACAAGCACGGTGTACCTCTACCGGACAGTTTGAACAAGCCGAACGGTTCCGCAAATCTGACATCAATAACGTTCACTGCACAACAGTGATTACAAATATACGTAGAACCCACGTAAAAGAGTCACCAACGAAGTTGGAGTCACCCTCCTAGGATTCTTGAGGTCCCGTCTTTACCAGTGCCTGATTACGCCTTCTTGATCGCTCATCACCGATATGAAACAGACGGAGTAGTCGGCTCTGATAATCTCACAATCGTGTAATCATAAATCGATTGCAAAGCAAGAAGTGGGATCAAATATTCGCCAGTAGCCATGTTTCAAGAAACATATGATGGCAGCGAAACGGTTGTCTCAAATACGTTGAAGACACCGAGCATGGCGCAGCTTCACCTGTCAAAAGATTGTGCTGCTCAGAGAATTCATTCAGTGACGTGTATGCGCTTGTGCTTGTAACATTTGCTTCACGCTCCGCGCAATGTTTTTTTGTGTTTGTTTGTTTTTCTCCTTGCTACCCCAGAAACAGGAGGTAAGATTCCCAGACTCTATATATGGAACTGGGGAAATGTAGAGTTTATACTTCGAATCTACGGGGTCATATTTCGGCGAGAACAAAAATCGATTAGTGTGGGCTGTCGCCTCATGCATTTCGTTTTGCCCTTTTAACTTTAACTTGTCGCTTGCGCGGTAAAAGCGAAATATGGTGAACCTTGTTGCACTTGTATTATTGAGGTGAAAATAAAATAAAGGAGTCAGAGAGGTCAGCCTAGAGAAAATCCTCTCCACTTATAAACCTCTGATAATCCTCTCATTTGGTTAAGACGGTTTTAGGAAAAATAATAAACAAGAGCAAATCGCGAGGCAAGAACCGTGAACGCAACCAAGGCACCGTCACCATTTCTTAAATTGTCAGCATCTATTATAGTGTAAACCAGCTTGGCTTTTTTAGAGTCTCTTACCTCTGATTGCACCTCGAACCGCACCTTCTTCTTGGCGTTCCCCGGCTTCTTGACGCTGGACTTGGGCTGAGCCGTGATCACAATGAGAGTTTCGTCCGCCTGTTTCGGCCGGAAACCCAAAACGACACCCACACGTCTGGCAACCCTCCGAATCTGCTGCGGCATCTTCGCTGGCGAAGAAGAAAAGGTGGCGCGAAGTTTGCCCTTCTTGGACGCAGCCTTGACTCTCTGTCGGAGCGGTAGCTTCTTCAGCGCGAACAGCCTGAACTTGTTCATAATCACACGGCCGGCGCCAAGGCAGCCCTCTTTACGAATGCGGGCGGCTATTCAGCGACGATTGGAGGACCGCACACAAGCGACGCGTCGACTTTGGGGCGGAGAGACGAGAGAGAGAAGGCGTCGCTGCTCTGCTCTTTGTTGCCTCGAGTGTTATCGGGCCTTATCGCGAGATGGCGTGTGATGCTGCGGGGCAGAAGGCTCAGGGAGTTAGAGAGAGCAACCAAAAATCAACAAAGATATATAATAAAAACATACATTTGTTGGCGGCGGCTGTCCTGGCTACGCACACACATGCGTTCCTTCGTACGACAGGAAATAGCCACCCTACGCCATATAATTCATGGACGTTGTCTGCCCCGCAATGTGTCGTTTTCTACAGGACGCGCAGTATATTGGTTATACGCGTGCCGTAGCGGAGCCTGTTAAAGGCCCATGGGTTTTCGCTCTGACTGCGCACATGTTGGTGGATTCGGGGAAACATGTTTGCGACGTCGCACAGGTGCTATCGCCGTCAACATCGTTGGGTAATGATGATGATGGCGATGTGATGCCTGGCGTCCGAAAGGCCGCGGTCAGCCAGATAGGGTCTACGACGGCATTCGCTGCTTTCGGATTAGTCCCTAACTTGTTTACTTGTCAAACAGGTTAACCCGCTATACACTGCTGCATTACACAAAATGCAGCTTGCAGACACCGACTGAGACGTGTTTGTTCCTTGTATGGGAGTCCTGTCATACTTGGCACACAAAAGCTGTTTGCAGACATGATCAAAACATACAAATGTACGCAGCAAACGCACTTCAGGCATGAAAGAGGCGTGTCTACATATAAGAGACCTTCAAAAGTTCCTCGGGCAACATTGGCAGTCGCCATTACTTGGTCACGAAAAGCGCGTGATTGGATCCGAGTCCGCGCCGAACGCTGACGCTGGCCTCGTGTTCAACTCATGCTCAGAGTATGTGATCACGCAATGGCGGACCGGCGACGGCGCGGACTTTTGAAAAGAATCTATTCTGCAGCGAACACCATGTCTTCTGTGCGCTGTGTGAGCATTTGACTGTGGTTTACAGTACGTGAATTGGCAGAGCTACGATTACGATTAGGGGTGTCGCGAACTTTTGTCGAACCAGATTTTTTGGTCGAACTTTCGGGGTTCGACCTTCGAACTTTTCACCAGATTCGACCGGTTCGACTTTGTGGACAGTGTGGCCAGACCTTGTTACAAGCATATCTAGGTTTGGAAAAAAAAATTTTTATGCTAAGGGTTATTTTATACTGGGAACAGTTGCAATTAAAATAAACTAATTCTAATCACTGAAGAAGTTAATAGACAGTTTTAGTATAGCGTAGCTGGATATTACGTACGCAATACGCAATAGTATAGCGTACGCTAAAAATGACTTGCTCGGGCAGAATTTAGTTGTGCGTTACGTTTCCGAGTGAACACGGCGCATGAACTTGGTTAAATTTGCTAGAGCCGTAGAATTCCGCGTTCTTATAGCGCAACTATGCTCCTGGAAAGAAATATTGAAAATGAAAACGTGTCCAATCATTTTATTTCAAATTAAATCAAGCCACAGCTGCCTCGTCAAGCTCGCTTTTCTGCGGAGTACAGAGGCTACGAGTTCAAGTGCGTAGCCAAATTCGATCACGGAGCCTCCGTCAATCTTCCCTTTGAAACGGCATCTTTTATCAATGCTATCGCGGAATGAAATTCATGACCCTGATGTCCAGTGCATAGCGAGAACTTCGGCGATTTTTTTTAGAGTCGTTCGTCCGTCGGCGATGAACTGTGGGAATAGGCTTAGCGTTGAGCAGATCGCAGCGTCGACGCACATTCCGAGCGGCGAACATTTTCACTGTACACTCCTTCAGCTGCACGGCGATCTGATTCGACCGCGGTAGGTCCCAGAAAGAGTCGCTGAGCTGAACACCACGCAATTTCACGTAACACAGAACTTCGAAAACACCACGTCGCCCTTGCTGCGCCAGTCGAGGCAACCGCCATCTTGAAACTGGCGCTCTCGTTAAGTCCGAGATCTCTCGAAAGCGTCCCGCAAGACCCACTAGCCAGCAACGCAAAATTCCCAGCGTTGCGTGCGTACGCAATACGCTAGCCCTTTTATTGCGTTCTGCGCATGCGCACTCACCACCCGCAATTTCCTTGCGTACGCAAAGCTATAGCGTACGGTCCACTAAAACTGTCTAATAACCTAATTTTTAATACTGTATCAACTGAAGTAGCCAATCAGCGCTGCACTTAATTCATCTCTTAGCCATTATCATCCAATCCGAAGCCAACTGGCCAGCCTGTCGCGCATGCGCACACGAGTTGAACCTCAATAGAAGGTTCGTCGAACTTTCCACTAAAAGGTCGAAAAAGTCGAACCTGGTCCAACTCGAACCGCGGCCGGTTCGCGACACCCCTAATTACGATGCCGCACAGCTGTTATCGCCATCGACATGATTGGATGATGATGATGATGATGTGATGCCTGCGCCCGAAAGACCACCGTCAGTGAGTGAGGGTCTACGACGTTATTCGATGCTTTATGATTGGTCCATAACTTAACTTGGCAAATACGTTATGATCTCATTCGATGATCACATCGATGATAAGATAAGCAATGAACCTATTGTTGTTCAGCTGCTCGTGAAAGTCAAATTTCTTGCAGACAACACTGGGGCACACCCGGAAGGTTAGGTGGCGCAAGCTACCGACCGTAGCATCCATCCATCCATTCAGCTGATGCTATCTACACTACGAGATGCTCCGCCTTCGGTCGTGCTCGATGCTTTCGGCCACGCCTGTCCACGCACTTACGTTCGCTTATAGGACCAAGTTATTGGGGACTTTTAGCAAACCGTTACCGTGTTCCGCGTACCGCACTACCGGAGCATTCGAAGCAAGCTTTTAGGCACTCGCCTGGGTGATACCGTGACGGCGAGGCGTGCGCTTTAAAGGGCAACTCCGCTTCATTTTTGATATTTAGAAAACTATGTAGCCCTCTTCAGTATCATATAGGAAGACCCCATGTTAAATATTACGATCTAATTCCGTCTATATATTTAATAAACTGGCCAGCAAACTTTGAAATCAGCCAAGTCGCCGAAATCTGCTAACTCCAGCGTGCGACGTGAGGCGCAATCATCAGCGAAGTCGATGCACGGAGTTGGAGCGGCCAACGTTGAGCCACTACGTCAGAGGCATGACTACGTCATTCTCACGTTTTGTTTGTTTTTACTTCTCAGAGCGAAATTGAACGATGACGTCATGAGTTATTCCTCCCGGTGTTGGCTGAACGGCGTCCACGTGATCACCGTAAGGCGCATGCGTTAGTTTGCGGTGCCCTGCGCGCTTATCGGTCTGTTTCTCCGCTCCCTCTCTCCTCTTTCGTCTTCTCCCCCTCTCCCCCGGGCCATCACCGTCACCGTCCACGCCATGCGAAGCGACCTGCCCGCGTCTCGTGTCCTGTCCCTCGCCCCCGCGAACGTCACAAGACCACGTGGTTCGACGTGACGGGACCATGACTCTGACGGCACGAGACCAATGTTGCCTGACGCGACCGAAGTTTCGGTTTCGGTATCTGCTGATGTTTAAATTAAGATTAGACAAATAATATTCCACATTTCGCGAATCCGAGGACGTAGAGCTGTTTAGTAGTGCTTTGTGAAATGGAATCACATGTAAGCCTAAATTTTTCGGAATTGAGCGGAGTTACCCTTTAAAGCATGCTTCTAATGCTCCGGTAGTGCGGTACGCGGAACACGAGAATTTTGCTAGAAATCCCCCTTTAACATTTCTTACGTATATAGAAAACAAACTGGCACGCTCGTGCCATCTATATAGGCTGAGCCTGGAAATTAATTACACTTACAAGAAAAGTTATTTGATAACATTAACCAGAGTTTTTGGAGCCAAAAAAAAAATTAATAGTGCGCAAAAAAATCAGAAGTAAACGAAGTCTGCAATTGTTCTACGTCTACCCGATAGATGGCGCCAGTGTGTTCTCTCGTCGTAAGAACTTTTAAGGGGTATTAACTTTTAATGTGCACGGTCGTAAGCAGTCGGAAGTGTGTGCACCGTTCCTAAATGTTATCGAATGCAGAAAGTTTTCACTCGAGGCGTAGTATCTATTGGTGTAGCAATGTAATGAAATTCCGTTGAGCCTCGAAGTTGGACACGTTCGCCGCACCTTCGTACTTTTTGGCAAAATTCGACAAATATCGACTTCTATAACAGTGTGGCCCGACTTAAAAAAAAAAAAAAAAAATTATGTAGGAAACAGCTTTCTAATTTTAGGGAGCCATTCGCCTTAACTGTGGAGACGACGGGAAAACAAACATACCAGTTTTCAATAATTTGGTACATTTCTTAGAATTCTCCACCTTTCGTACGCCGAGGTGGTGCCAGCCAAATCACCTTTATTTCACGCGCATGTGCATGGCGGTCGCACTTTCATGGAGCTTCATGTCGAACTTGGAGCTAAAATTTCGGATAATTCGAACTTGGATAATTCGAACTTGGTCAAACTCGGGCCTCGGTCAGTTCGCAACGTCCTTGCGTGCCGCATTATTTTCACGTCCCTCGCTTTGTGCTTTGTTGCTTGAAGTTCTTATCGCCAAATGCCGCAATCTCATTGGCTGAGGAGCCATAACGAGATGCTCAGGACTTGGCACGCCTTGTTTCTTAGGCTTCGGTGACTATAATGCTATCCGTTCATTGTAGTGAACTTTTTGGGTCACAGCGAGACTGCCGTGAAACAAACGAATTGCGCTGTTTTTCCCGCGACTCTTGCGCTTAGCTGTGCACTGTTCAGTTTCGATACGGGGTTCGTTCACACAGCTGGAAGCCTGGAACTTGCGTTCGTCATGAAGGTTGCAGGTTGGTGTTTACACTGCAGACTGGCAGTTTGCGCAGTACTGTAGTAATGATTACTTATGATTTATTTACAATGTAACTACTTCGCCTCATATGGGAATAATTCTATAGGGTGTTAGTGAATATAATTTGACTAGAGAGAAAGAAAGTTATTGTCATCGATTATAGCAGTGGTTCTCAACCACTGATGTTTCGCGGACCCCCTGTGGATCGGCGGAGATGATGGAGGACCCCG